ATTGATCAGATGGTAAATGAAAAGTACATGAGTTTTTCAGTCACCCACAATGTCTTTCAGTTAAAAAGACCAAATGTGATATGGCTCCTCCTCAGACCCCTTTGATATTTAGGGGGGGCAATAAATTAAGTTCTGTTTCAGCAGAGATCTAGCACGGCTCCACATGTCAGTTTGCTTCAGAAGTAGGCAGCATTTCTATGTTTTTTACTTGGAAAGCTCTGTTTATAATAAAACAAACATACAGCTTCAGGAGTACAATATCCTTTGAGAGGAGTTGTTTCAAAGTGTTTTACAACCCATCTGGTAGACTGACTCTAACCATTAGGCATGTTCTTTGGAGAAAATGCCTTATTCACACAGATAGTATGGTTCTGTTATTGCAAACCAGAAGAATGAAACTTTGCAAAGCCAGGCCTGCTGCACCATAAAACAGAGACATGGAGTTCGCTGAGAAAGTGAAAAGGAGCAGTTGTCAAAAAAAAAAAACACCAAACCTTTCATTTTCTTTCATTTTCTTTGTATAAAAGTTCTGCCTGCTGGGAATAAGTCTGCCTCTCCCAGCACCAGCGTGCCTCTTGGAAGAGCATAAGTCATCTGTACTATGGAGCAATTCACTATAATTTCTTATGCATGTCTCTCTTTGTTGCTGTTGTCATTAAAACACATTAGGGTCATAAGTTAAAATATAATGATTTAAATTAATATCCTAATTGCTAAGTTTATAATTAAAATTTTGTACAAATATTTTGCAGGTACAGTCAATGAAATGAGAGCTGCTTATGTCAAAACCATCAAAAAAATTGCTTAGCAAAGCTAATCACAAGGAGCAGTCCATTTGTATCTGTAAGGTTCAAGGAGCTGTGTCCAAGAAAAGGTTATTTTTCACAAAAAAGAGCAACCTCTCCTCCCAAAACACACAGTTAATCCCATGGAAGACTCCATCATCATCATCATAGTGCCAAGCAGAATGTGGCACAACAGTGGCAGGACCAAAGCAACAGCCCAAGTGGGTATATGATGTATGTAAGTATGCATATGTGTGTACACATACATATATGTGTACATAGTAAATCCTGTCTCTATATGTATATTTATGCACATAGACACATGCACCCCACATGTACACATGCCATATGGACATCATCTCTGTGTGTGTGTATATATATATAGATAGAAGTACATGTGTATATTTACATACATGTATATATTTATTTATACATTCACACACACACACATATGTATAAAAGTGCACATATGTATACACATATGTCACAGGTAGCTGTGAAGCATCTCTACCAAGGCTAAGTTATAAAATCTGTCTGCCTCACTGGGTGCCCCTTGGGCTGTGCAATGGTAGGAGGGGAGTTGTGAGCAGAGACCAGTGGGTGCTAGGGATGGAGCCGTGGTCACACTGGAGGAACCCACACTCGGAGGACAAAACCATTGTGAGGATGAGAGAGTAAGATTTCTCAAAGGGGAGTATCACCAGCGGCACTAGAGGCAGCTGAGCGGGGCCTCATCGAGTAGCAGGGACCACTGAGTTCACTGAGCCTGACCTGTTGGGAAGGGGCTCTCAAGCCTCCCACTGGGGATGCCAGACAAATCCCTGTGCTTCATGGGATGTATCACATTTCAGATACCACTAATTAATCTAATGCGTGAAAAATCGTGTAAACCCAGTGCTTGACAAACACACACAAACAGTGAAAGGTTTTGAGGGACGTGACCTAAATGCTGATGTTCTGTGGGCAGAGGGAGACTAAACACAAAAAAAGCAAACCATTAAATGAGATCTTTTTTGTTCAAGTTACAAATACAAATGAGAACAATACACTTGAAGATCATGAAAAAAATCCATGACCATTTTAATTTATGAACAGTCAGAAAGGGAAGAGGTCTCTCCCACTGGTCAGGCATGCAGGTGACATGGTAGAGGGACCTTGGTGCTGCTGGAGAGCTGCCAGCAGAGCCATGCCATCACTTCAGGCCTTCATGTGACACAAAGAATTGGCTACACAAGCACCAGAAGCATCACACACGAGGGAAAGGCTGAAGATCAAGGCAAACCTTGAAGGTCACACACCATAGGTGACTTTCCTAACATCAGCTCCATCGCTCAGCTCTTCTGGTACCAGCAGGAAACAGAAGCAGAAGGAGGATGGGTGAACATAAAGAGTAAGATGAGAAATGTACCCATGGGAGAGCTGAGAGTTATGGCGAGACCCAGCACTCGATTTATCAGCATCTGGTAATTTATCTGATCACCCTACGCTTCTCACCATCCATGATGTAATTTAAGATGCTCAGCTCATGCCCTGTGCATGCACACCCTGCAGCCCCCAGTGAGCTCTGCATAGGAGATCTGATGGGGCTGCTTGGTTATAACATCTGGCCAGGATTCATATAAATTAGTGAGGTCAAAGGAAAGCCCTTAAGGTTAAATTTAAAACGGAGTTAGGAAGAAAAGAGACATGGTCAGCAGAGCTCTTCAGCAGGTATTTCATGTTAAAAATACATTATCCTACAGATATTGGTGGACTGCTCAGGTGCTGGTGTGCTCTCCAGTGTGGAGGTGAGTGGTGGCAAGGGCTTGGCGTTCTGCAACAAGGGGGACTTACACTCTCTTGGCAATGTATGCTGCCTCTTGCTTTCCAAATAGGCTTCTTTGTATTGCTTGTTACAGCAATAAACTTTGCATTTCTGAGCAGAGCACCTGATTGCTGCACTTCTGTGTCACTGCACCAGAGTCCCCAGCCAGGGCCACATCCTGCCCTGAGGTCTGCAGACCTGTCTGTGTGTGCTCGTTTGTGCTTCATCTTCAGGAGGGGATGACGCTGGGGTGCTGTCAGAAGCTTCTATGGTTTGAATTTTGAATGGAAAAGGGGGTCTAACACTATGAGCTCATGAAAGCAGAAGTCTTCCTTTAATACACTTTAACTTTTTGAGTAAGTGAAACCAAGAAACCTTCCCCTGTCCTGTGTTTCTTTTTCACACCAATAGAAGGTTTCCCGAGCCAGTTAGCAATCACTCACATTCTCCTTCTCCTTAGTACACCAAGAAAAAGGCAAATTACAATTTTTACATTGCTTGCTAACATTACAGGGAGGCAGGTGTGTTTTGCACAGTTCAATTTGCAGCAAAGCTTGAAATATAAATCTATATATTAACCAGATAAGTTGCAGGCTATCCATTCAGCAGGAAAGGCCTCCCCAAGGTGTGCTGGCAGTGGTGGTACAGCCTACAGGGTCATCTGGGTGAGAGAGGGAACAGTGGGTGCTGTGGGCAGGCAGCTACCTGCACCCTGCCTGCATCCTGCCTGCACCACCCACACCTGGCCAGGGCCACTTAAAAAAACGTCAGTGGTTTGTATTGACTGGAGCTTGTGAAGAAATTTTCCCAATACTTTCAAAGCAGAGGCAGCTGTGAGTAGCTGTTAAATAGACACAAACAAGAGCTCGGTCCAAAATACGAGTGTTCAACATAGTGCTTTATATATAAGTTGTGCTACAAGACCGCAAAAATGAAGAAACCAAAACATATTAATTATTTGAAATAGAAACACTCCCTTTTTGAAGGCAGGCACCCTTTTTAGATGTCTTTTTAAGTGTCACATTGATTTTTTAAATCTCTGAAGTCCCTTTATCTCAGTGCACTTATTTTATGAGAGTTACATTTTGACACATGGTTTGGTTTATCATGTAATGCTTCAATAAGCAAATGCAAATTACCAATAATGATCTTTTTAATTTGAAACATAACTTGACCAAAAACAAACTTTTCAAGGAAATAAATTGAAAGTGATTTTTTTTTTAAGTTTATCTTATTTCACAGATTAGCTTCAGTGTCTGACACACACGTTTCAAAGAAGTTCACATTTAATGCGAGTAGGACAAATAAAAAAAATCCAACAAAATCAGCACCCCCCACGTCCCCGCAGTCTTGGAATGTGTCATTAAAACCTCATGGATTTTAAATTCTTGTTCTTATACAGAAAACTACATTAACAGATTTTGACCTGGAGACTAAGCCAAGCTACATGTGTTAAAGGCCCAGCATCTCTGCTCTGATCCACAGGGCTGTTCCTGCATACTTACTAAATAAATGCAGCCTACTGATGTAATGCCATCCTGCATATGTCTCGTATTAATGGTATTTTCCTAATCGTAATAGCATTAAAAGCCTGCCTACTTTGCTATTGAGTTACCCTATTTAGGATAATTTGTGCAGAAAGACTGTGCTTGAGCATGTGAACAAGCATATCATTTTATAACACTTAAAATATCGAAATCAAAGCAAGCAGCCAGTTTGATTCCAGAACCAGTATTTTTCCATTAAAAAAAAAAATCGGTTGTGTTTCTTGAATAATTTATTGTCTGTATTTTTGTTGTATTTTCCACGTGGAATTGATGAAGAAAAAGTACTTTTTTTTTTCCTAAAGAAAGTTTGGAAGAGTGAAAATTCACACATGGAAAACAAATGAGCATCGGGAAACACTCCTCATAGCTAATGGCTACTTGGTATGTCGCCAGAATTCATACAGATCCTTAAAATCAAGTAAATTATGCCCGCAGTGATAGCTCCCTTTTGCTGGAGTCCCACAACAACCACCAAATGGTGGAGCGAAGCTGAACTGCCAAGTTTCATTTTTCACCTCCCGATTCCTTTCAATTAAGTAGATTCGTTTGCTGCAGAAGGGCCTATGCATATTTTATAGCCCCGACCCCTCTCTCAGGTGCGCTCACAGCGCCCCGGCTGCACCCTGCCAGTGCCCGGGCACGGTGTCCCTGTGCCATCCTCGCTCCCAGTCCCGTCCTGCCCACAAGGGCAGCGGCTCCCGAAGGCAGGGATTATCCATACCACTGTGCTGAGTAAAAAAAGAAAGGAATGGCAGAGGTGAAAGCAATCAAGCATGTGCATCTTCTTCAAACAGCCTGCAAAAGGAAAATGGAGAGAATACGGGCTTTCAAAGGAATATATAAAAAAGAAGCGCTACTCCCCTGCTCTGTTCTTGTGATAAGAGATCACACACTTCAAATGCCTTATTGAACTCAAGGTTAAGGAACCTGCACTCATCACACAGCAGATTAAATAACTGGTGAATTATGTGCTAAAAAAATTAGGATGGATTACACAAATATCTGTTAAGGCTATGATAAATATTTATAAACAATCTTCCTTGCAGAACACGTCTCTGTCATTCAATTCACTGCAATGAAAAACCTGGAACAATGGAACTAATGACTACATTATTCCAAAGTTAAGTAGTATATCTAATAAGGAAAATAATCAAATGAGCCAAATTCTTTATGAATACAACAGTGAAGCAATTAAAATAAATGTGATTTTCCAGATCAAAACTTCTGGCTGTTAATTGCTATATGGCACCTATCCTAGTCATATGAGTTTCCCTTGCAGCTGTTTTTATTTCATGATACATTTTGAAATCCCAGGAGCCTAGTCCTGGGATCTGCCGTACAGACAGTTAGCCTGAAAACCAGGATGCTTATCAAGTGTTTATAATCTGGGTAGATGAACTCTCAAGACAGACCTCTGAGAACAAGCACTTTCTTGCCATTTGCATTTTGTTTGCAATGTGTTTCCAATGAAGATAATTTATTGATGCATACTTCTGGGGCTGGAGCACGGGGTTTGCTGCCATATGCAGGCAAGCTCAGAAGGACGAGGCCTGGGGAGCAGGAGCTGTTCCTGCCTCCCCAGCACTTGGGGCTGAGGCCACAGCAGGCGACGCAGCGTGGGGGCTATGACACACTTAATACAGACATAATTCTGTGTGTTTCTTATCTTCCATGACCTCTAACTCTCTGTATCTGATGGCTTCTCTTGGGTTTTATGTTTTTTTTGCAATTTCTGGCATTCATGGGTGTCCAAGTTGAGGAGCAATGGGGCAGGAGGGCTGTGGCCTCTGCAGGGGCAACGAGCCTATTTAATGCACAACACTTTTAGCCCCTGAGCTAAAAGTGCACACTGGAAACCTGGCATATTCCAGCCAAAAGCCAAAGCTGTGTTTTGGTATCTGTGGGTTATTAATGAGATTAAAGAACTCAGTTACAGGGAATGACAAATGCAGTTTGTCCAACACTGAGCAGATATTGGCATCCTTAGGTGCAAATCAGGAGTCAGTGAACTCAGCTATTGAACAAGCTAAAGCCATGAGCAATATGATATTGATTAGACAATGGGTATTGTATTTACCCACATAGTTTTATTGGGTGAGGCTTCATGCAATGTGTTTTTATTTGGGAAACTTAAGGAAGATAATTAAAAATGTTGTAAGGAGAGCCTAGAAGCCTTCTTTTTAGTGCTTTTCTTTTTAAAGGCTACAGATGTCTTGTCTTCTTCCTTTAAGACTGCATATGCTCCCTTCCCACCTTCCAAAAGATCAAGGGTAATAATAATAACAATAATAATACGGTATCCTGGAATTTTTCTACATGCCTCAAGAGAACTTTAATATTTTCCAGGAACTGTTTTCTGACAACAGCCGCCTCTTCTACTTTCCTTCTGCCCTGCTTGCATTTCCAGTGCTGCTGGGGCTAAGTTAAAGTGGTGTCTTTGAATGTGGGGCCTTTGCTGTAGAAAACACTTCTTTTCTTAACCAAAACCATGCCGTGTTCAGCCATCCTGCACTGTCAGTAATTTCCCCTGTTCTGTGCCCTCCATGCAATTCCTGCTTTCCCCTTGCCATTGCCAAGCAGTGCATTCAGTTTTGCTTTCCAGATAATAGGAGGTGGTGAAAACTTGAGCTTTAGCTCAGATTAGCCTCACTTCAAACTGTGGTGCTGGGCAGTGCCTGTGATGCCAGTGTGGGTCCAAGAGTTTCCTGTGTGGATTTTGGGCCATGCTGCTACTCTGACAGCCTGTCCGGACTGGCAGGGCAATAGCCAGGGCTCTCCCATCTCTGGGGGAAAAAGCTTAGGTCAGGATCCCAGGTTGCCTCAAAACCAAACTAAAACAGTTCTATGATGGAGGCCGATGGAGTGCTTCAGTTATTATTCTTTACATTCTTACTTCTGTATTTCAACCGGAAGAGCTCACCCACTGCCATACCCACGATCCTCTGGGAGAATGGAAGGCAGAGATGTAGCATCCCTAGAGAAAAGTTCCTCTTTTGCTCTTTTTCCCATAATTTGCATACCCTTTCTCTGTGGGCTTTTCTTTATCTTTCTTTTTTTTTTCTTTTAATCCCACAGCACTATCATGTTTGCCAGCCCCAACATCACGTTCCTCTCTTTCATCAGAAGACTGACTCATAGCATCTTTCAATTTGGACTCGCTTTTTTTTCCTGTGGGACTTTGGCCCAAACAACACAACACACAAAGCATCTGCCCAGACTTGACACACAGCGAGGCATCGCCCAGCATGGGGGTGAACCAGGACCTATATTTTCACCATCAACTTTGCCCCAGGGAATTTTACTGTACTGAGACTATTGTACCTGAGTTTAGGTGTGACAGTGTAGCATTTCCCCTCCCTCCATGGGTGACTGCTGCTCTCTTACTCTCCAGTCTTCTGGGCATGGGACTGTTAATTCTTTTTCTCCAGCCTGATCCATGCCCGATGTTCTGGCACTGCTGCCAGCTCTGGTTCCCATTTGTGAAGCTGTTTTTCACATCTACTGCTGCTCCTTCTGCTCCTGAACCTGATGCTTTCTGGCTCCAGGCTCTGCAAGGACAGGCATGGGGCAGGATGTGTGGAGTGCCTGGAGGAGTGGGTGAGTGGCTTCTGGACTCACACTCAGAGCGGCCTCTCCATCTGCACCACAGCACAGGAATACAAAATGGCACCAAGTTGTACTTCTCATTAAATGTGGGCAAACTTGGCTAGAGAACAAGTGCAAAAGCTCATCTTTCTTCAGCTGCTTGTAATTCATGCTTGAGCAAGAGCATTATTTGGGGCTTAAGTCAGATTCCTCTAAGTAGGTCACAATTCTTCTTCTAGACAGAAATTCTTGCCTCTGACTTCTCAGGATCATGGATTCTCAGTCTCTCCTGATTTGTGTAACACCTCAGGTGCCCTCTTATCAGATTTATCAGCTCATCAAATGAATCCAAAAAACAGTTACTAACTTGCTGCCTGATAGGGTTCAGACTTGGAAAAGTTCCTCTGCTTTGGTTGGCAGCCATTTCTCTGGCTGATTTGCATGGCTGATTTTTCCCATTTTAGTGATGCTCCTCTGTTAGCTCTGTAGCCAGGTAAAAGGATGCAACCTGCATCTCCTATGGTTAGTGTATCAATGAGAGGACAAGAGGCTGCAGAGATGGCCAGGAAACTCCAGTCCATATGGGGCTTGCTTTCTGAAACAGATGCAGTGCAGTCCATGCTATAAAACAGAATTAATTTTAGTGGTACAGAGATTGATTCCCCAAATCACAACAGCATGTGTTAGATATTAGTCCTATTCTTCTGTACAGCACTATGAAGGGTTCACACACACCCAGTGATACAATGAGGGAGATAAAATAGTGCAATGAGATATAGAGTAGAAGATACTACAGCACAATACAATATAACACAAAACAAGGATGGCATATTGTGTGCAAGGACTGTCAGGGTATAGATTTAGGACATTTCTGCAGGACAGTTTTGAGTCTACACCAGCTCACCCTCCTGTTGAAAATCACAGTGATTTGCTTGTTTCAAGCCAAAAGAAAGAAAGAGAGGGGAAGAGAGAAGTTTTAGCCCTTTCAATGGAGGGGTGAATATCAATTATCAACTTTTAAAATACTGGTGGGATGTATGAACCATTTGGACACTGTATGTCTCACTAGAGAGTTGTGGAGACTTGCAGGTAAATATGGTTTTTACCGAAGTTGTCTATTAGGGGAGACTATCCATAGGGTTGGAGAGCTATCATTAGAAGACAGATGTTTGAACACTTATCTGCATCCCAGTCCCAGATGGTTTTTATTCCTCGATTGCCACCTTGGTGTGCAGTGGTAAAATGCTGGCACTGGATCACAGCTTGTTTCACCTTTGTATTCCTGAAATGTGTTGCCATTTTACAATGGAATACAGGATGCCCACTGGCTTTTATGCGGTATTTTTTGTTTCTGTGAAGTTATTTTTCACTTTCTCTTCTAAAAACAAACAAAATGTTAAATGTCTAATTGAATAGACTGTTGGAAAAGCCGAATAGGAAGGTTGAGCACGTGAACTTCTGTGAAGTAAATACCTTTGTTTCCAAACAGTCTACTGATAGCAAATATTTATTGACATTTTCCTTCCACAGGGGCGTTAACAATTATAATTTGCTAGTACGTACATTGTGACTACTTTCAGATTTTGAACAGAACATCTGTTGGTCAAAGATGAAAAAAAACCTTGAAATAAAAATCTGTTTTTCCAAGGTTATGAATCTAACAGCATCACAAATTATCACTATGAAAACATTTCAAAAGCCTGAACTTGCACTTATGGAAAAAGGAACACAGATAGAGGAAACAGATAAATATGCGTTGTGTTAGTAGGCTTTGTTTTCTGAAATGATATATTGTTCCGGAGAAGCAGTTAACAAACAAATTACTGTCTGTGTCCAATACAGCCAGATCTTTGGTTCCACGGAACAGATGTTGAGGTGAAGCAGATTAAAGCTTAATTCACAATAGGGCTGTACCACAGGAAAGGTGCCCTAAGTTTATCTATTGTTAAATAATATAATTTATCGTCTTAGAGGGCTACAGAGCAATTTCTGTTCCTTTTCTACTTTTTGAACAAAGATTTATAACATAGATAATCCCCAATTTTAGATATTTGCTGCAGGTTATATTTGAAAGAATTTCCCAAAAGACTGATAACCCTCTTTTTTTTTTTCCCTTAACCACAGTCGAACCAGTGAACTAATATGATGCCTGCTTCAAATAAATGTATTTGCTGCCTCTGTGCATGATAAGTTTTCATTTAGTCTATGATCAGCTGACAGTATGCAAGTTTGCAGATACCAGTAATTGAATACAGATAACCTTGGTTGTTGACCTATGCAGAGCCATGACAGTCTAGTTTCCATTGTTTCTGTTTTTGCTAGTTGACACAAAACTGATGTGGGCTGAATTTATATATTAGCCCTCCATTATAGTGGGAATTGCTTATCGTTATGGATGGATATTGCAAGAAGTTTCTATTTATTTAACCTAATAAGAAGGCAAAAAGGAACTTGATTGGGCCAACTCAGGAACAGATTTAACTCTTAGCAACCTGGCTAGTTTCTGCACAGATTGCAGGGCATGGGAAGGGCATCTGCCTTAATTCTATTTTTTACAAACAAATTTTATTTTTGGTTGGAGGGATTATTTTTTTTCTAGCAAACAATGTCGTGAAATATTGAGGAGCTGTTTGAAATTGAGGGTTGCAAAGGAGCCAAGAAGTGCGGGGTGTCCAAATCCTCTTGGCTTCTGATAGCAGTAGACGGCTAATTCTCTTAGACTTTGTTGAGCGCCCAGTCTGAAAAGACTGAAAGGTATAGTTTGCCAAGGGATGAAGAGGACAATGGCAGTCCAGGTCCCATGAGAGCTGCCTGCTGTACACAGCATGGGCTTCAAATCACACACTAGAAGCGGCTCTTCTGTAGGTTGCTGCTGTCTCCAGCCTGGTGTATGTTACAGCCAAGATGAGACTCTTTTGGTCGTTTGCAAGGGTTGTGACTGGCTTGGTTTGCATTTCAGCCTGGCTGTGATTAGTTGTGTGAGTTTCCAGTTACCTTATTTAGATCTAGAATGAAAATCCAGGCTTGCAAACACAGTGATTATTGTAACCTTCTGACTCAGGTTACGCTGCGACAGCCTGAGAAGAACTGACCCACTGGCTGCAGGAGGGCAGCAACAAAACAAGAGAGCCATCTTTTTTTCTCCAGCTATTAAAATGATGGTCAAACTCTGGCCCAGTAGACACTGATGGCAAAATATTGAGACAACTGATTGCCTGGTGTGGGTGGCATTGCGGGCAGCTTTTTCCCCACACAAGAGGAACAGACATAATCCTGCCTGAAGTGCCAGTGGAGAGGTCACTGGACTTTTTAGAAAAAGTGTTTATTAAGTTTAGGCTCATGATGAGGCTATTGAGCCCCTTGCAGAGGCTTTATGTGCCTTGCTAATGTTATGCAGCAGGACTCGTAGGAGGTTTGTTCAAGACCATGAAAGCAAAATGACCAGCTGGAATTCTGATCACCTTGTGGAATACAGTAAAGCACATGGAAACGTGATACTGCTGCTCATATTGAAATCTCTGCTTTTAGTCCTTTTCAGAGCAGTAAGAGCGAGTAACATGAAGTCCCAGTACAGCTGAATTCTGTTTTTGTTAAACTGAGGTGTCAATCAAGCTAGCTAAACTGAGGTGGTTTTTCAAAATGACTTTCACCCCCTCCTGTAAATGGTTTTCTTTGCAAATAGTTTTAAAAATCTAAGGAGCCATGAAAAGGGAACTTTTAAACATCCTTTTTTTTGGTCACCTTTCTGAACCGTGTCTCCTACCTCATGGATCTTAATTTGCCTGTGAAGATGGACACGAGGAAGCTGTGGGAGTGCAGTGCCCAGTCAAGGTGTCACATTCCTCTTCTGTATGTATTTGAGGATGAGAGGTACCTAGAAATACCACATACTTCAGTGAATAGACCTTTAACTTCTGGAAAGCAATTTTTTTTTCCCCATCCCCTGCCCCCATGCACACTGCTGCCTTCAAGGAGTAATGAGTGCAAGGTCAACACAGTCTTTCTACAGGCATTTGCTTTCTTTGGGGATCCAAGACCCAGGAAAAAGAAAATTAAATCACCTCCTAGAGCACAGGGATATTTATTTCCTTGAAGTAAATCAAGCCATGCTGCCAAACAATGATTAGAGGCCCATTAATAGGTTAATCATTATAACTGCAATAGTGTCATGGCACCTTGCTCTCAGTAGCTCTGTCAACATCCTTTGTCAAGTTGCAGGTTTGAAATGGTGCTCATTACTTT